GAATTCTGGGAGTTGAAGTCCACACATCTTAAAGTTGCCAAGGCTGAGAAATACTGCTCTATACTATTACTAGTATGCATCAACGTTTCTTTCTTAAGCCTGTTCTGCCTTAAGTTCCCTCTCTCTGAGATTTCTTCTTTTTCTGTTAATGGCCAGCCAGTAGAACTCTTACACCGTTTTTACATTGTGCTTTATCTTGCTGGACCTCTATCCTTCTTTTCCTCTCTTTTGCACTGTCCACTCCTTCTGAAGGAAAAACATCTTCTTTCATTTGGCCGCTGTACAGTACTCAGTTTGCTGCTGGCTGCCAAGCTCCAAAACACACATCTCCTGCATTCTCCTCCCACCCCATGTCAAGGTTGCAGCTTTATTGGCAGCTCTGCAGGGGCGAGGCTCAGATGGGAGGGAAAGAAGGCAGCACAGGGGCCTGCAATGTTTTCAGGCAGTCTACTCTTCCACACCTGTATTTCACTGTTACTACAGGTAATCCTTGTTTGGCAGCCACAATTGGGACCGGCGACTCAGTCATTAAGCAAAGCGGTCGCTAAGTGAAACCACAACTGTGCTTACAGTCTTACGTCAGCTTTCCTTTGCTGTACTACCTGTAATGGTGATAAATGCAAGGACTGGTCGCAAGTTACTTTTTCATCACTGTTGTAACTGCAAATGGTCAGTAAACGAGTCAGTCACTAAACAAAGACTACTTGTAGTTGGAGGACAGTTTTGCCGTGCAAAGTCAGAACAAAACAGCAATCCTGAATGCTGGAAGGATTAGCAGTAGGAAGGGATTGAAACACTGGAGATACACTTACTTTGGGAAATCTTTGGATGCCTTTATGTTCCGATGGAGGGGGCCCATAATTAGACTGTTGAGCACATTTAGAATTTGGACTTTATTCTGAGGGTGCTCTCACAAAATGATGCCATGGAAAGAAGGTCCAATCACAAATGACCCTCAAACATTTTCTATTAATTCAGCCTATTTTTGTCTTTTCGTGGCCAGAAGGCCACCCTTCCACATAAGGCACTAGACTGGTTTTTAGTAGGGACCCAGAGGCATCTTTGAAAAGAACGATTATCCTTGAAGCTGACACCTCATTTTACAGTATGCCTTGTTGTTGTCGTCTTTAAGTAAGATTCAAAAGGAAATCAGAGGGAGGAAGGACCCTGCCAGGCTACAAGGGCAGTGACATGGGATACTCTGGGCCCATGGGTGGTGGGCACACTGGGGACCCAGGCCTAATCATTTGCTTTCCTTTTCTCCCACCCCACCCCAACTCTAGCTTTTATAGATCCAGAGGAACCTCTTGGGGAGGCAACAACGAGCAGCTTCAGCCTCAAAGGGGGGCTGACACTGGTGGAGACCTGCTTTGGCTTCGTCCCAGCATGGAGAAAGTTGCTGGCAGTGCCCCTTCCTGTCAAAGCAGGCCGGGGGGACTTGCCCCAAGCCTTCCGGTGCGATGGAAGAAGAATGCTCCTGACTCTCTCAAGAAGAACTCCAAGGCTCCCTTTGGCAAAGTGTCAGCTGCCTCCCCAATGGTTGAGGGAGGAGGTGCCAGAGCCAGCAGCCCCTCTAGAGTGTCCAAGTTGCTTGAGGCCTGGGAGAAAGGACTTGTGGGGATGGACGTCACTGACCCAGCTCCTTCAGCTGAAACCAGGCCCTCCCGGTCTCCCTTACCTGCCAGGCGCTTTCCTTCAACCCCAGATGGCACCCACTCTTCTTGCCATGTCAGTTCCAGGAATTCTTTTTCACAATCCAACTTGGCCTCTGTAGATGCCAGGCGATGCCTTTCTCCAGCAAATGCCAGGCAGTCTTTTTCTCCAACAAGGAGAAGGCAGTCCCCTTTCTCAGAGGATGCCGGGGGGTCCTGTTCTCCTAATCCTCGGCGTCGTTCTGGTGCAGCAGAAAGCCGGAGGTCCCACTCTCCAAGCGACAGGAGACGGCCTCCCTCTCCAGCACCTGCGCAACAGCCCCTTTCTCCGGCCAAGGGCAGGCCAACGCAGGTGCCCCCCTTGTCAGCAGGCAGCAGCCATTCACGTTCTCCAGTACGGAAGAGACATTTATCTTCCAGAACAGAGAAACAGTCCTCCTCTTACCTGGATGAAACCCAGCATTCATCCTCCATGTCAGAAAACATGTGCTCCTACTCTGTGGCAGATATGAGGCGTTTCTATTCTGGAGGAAGCACCAAACAGCTCTCTTCCCCAGCTTCTTCAGTGGTGGAAATCAGGCGGCCATTCACCCCAGCAGACAGGAGGAGTATGTCTTCCCCATCAGATGCCCAGAGCTCACCTTCCCCAACAGGTACAAAGCGTTCATCACCCTCCTCAGACACCAGGCGTCCATCCCCTCCACCAGACAATGGATCCTCTTCCTCCTCCTCAGATGCCAGTTGCTCAGCTTCCCCTGCAGAAGTCAGATGCTTGACTCCTCCACCCGATGCGATACCCTTGTCCTCCCAGACAGATAGACAGCACTTATCGTCCCCGGTGGACGCTGGGGGCTCACCTTCCCTGGTGGAGTCTAGAAACTTCTCTCCCACAGCAGTTGAGGGGCATTCCTGCTCTCCCAGTCCACGGAAAAAACTTGCAACTCATGGACCTGTGTTTGCTCAAGTTTATTCCCGACCTCCCAAGCCGAAATGCCTGTTGAGGACCGAGGTGCAAGATGGCAAGAGTAACAGAGTTACTGAATCAGCGGGAGCAACACTCTGTCGTGCTGCTGTTCACAGTCCTGGAGATGCTGGATTTCAGAAAGAGAGCCATGTGACCAACACTGATGATCTCCAGGAGGAAAAGAATCTTGCTCTTTCTCCTGACAGCATGAGTGGAACCGTGAACCCGAAGGAAAGCCACATGCTAAATGGTGATTGCTCCAAGGCAGACACTGGATCCCCGAAGGAAAGCAACTTTCCTACTGCCATGGTACTTCAATCCTCAATAGAAAGTTCTCCATCTAACACCCTCAATACTATTTTATTCTCTGGATCCCCAGGGGGAAATTGCACTTCCTCTGCCACAAGCACCAAATTTTGTGAGGAGCCTTGTGTGTTCAAGCCAGTGCCTCGTGTGATGTGTTCCAGCACTGTAGCCAAATCCCAAACCCGGTGGTATGGGCCCAATGGCAGCAGCACGGTTGTTTTGAGAGCCAAACAGCAAGTCATTGTGCCCCAACCTGGATACTCCACCATTTACCAAGCCGGGCGAGAGATTATTATGTCTGCCCCTGGATTGGGGAACACCAGCCAGGGCCAGCAAGAGAAATCCCTTGCCCCAAGCCCCATCACTTCCGCTCCACTGGAAGAAAACTGGCAATCCCAGGCTGATCTTCCTGATGCTGAAAGAATCCACTCCTCCTCCCCCAAATCTTGCATCTGCTCCACACCAGAGTCACAGCCTGAGAATGGCATGACTCACTCTCAGAATGCCAGTGTGAGGGATGCCCAGAGGCCAAGGTGTGTGCTTGTGCCGAGCCCTTCTTGCACATCAAACAGAGAGGCTACCATAGTCAGGGAGGGAGTAGTTCCTTTCAGCACGCCCCAGAGAGACTGCAGCCTGCCCTGCAAATCTGCCTCCCAGAAGCACAGCAACCTGTTTGCAGGGAGCAGGTCAGAACAGGAACAAGGCATGCCTGATTCAGGAGGCCCAAGAGCAAATGGGTCAGATCAAGAGAGCAGCTTATTAGGTGTGGGAAAAGCCAGCTTATCTGCAAACAGAAAAAATAAGTGCCCATTGGACACTGCAGGTGAAATTGGAATCTCTGCTGCATCTCCAGGGAATGACAAAGCCAGAACTGAGGATGAACTAAAGAAAGAACAGCAAATCCCAGGCAAAGATTCCCCGATATTTGAACTGGAACAAAAGGGCCCTTCGGCCGGGACACTGACTTCCTTGTCATTGCCTGAACCTCCAAGTGAGAACCCAAGGAACAGCAACCAGACAGCAGAACGAGAACTCAAGGAAGTGGGGGAAATGGAACATTTTGTAGACACCCTCCGCAACATGGACCCTGCTGAACTTCGGAAGCCCTCAAAAATCCTCCCGAGGCATCCACGCCCTTCTACTCTTGCCAAGCACACAGTCCTTCCACCTATCGATGAGAACCACATCACTCCCAAATCAAAGTTTCCTCTCCCAGCAGCATTAGGTGAGCTGTTTGCTCTCACCGAGGAAAACCCAGAGGAAGGAACAGGACCAAAGGGGGAGGAGCCAGGATTGACAGAAGAAAACACGGAGGAGATTGAGAACCCTTATCTCAGTAAAGAAGATAAATCGTGGGATAGCAACGTAGACAGGAGATCTTACTCTTGGGAGAACCAGCAGTACAAGACTGAGGAGGAGATTGGGGCTTTTCTTGGAAAACTTCAGCGAGTCCCAGGAGATAGCAAGGCCAAAGTTATTGCCCCCAGAGCTATTATGAATCAGACCAACTTGGTTAAAACCAATGTTCTCAAAGGGATCTCTCTTTTGTCCAACTTTGTAGACAGAAAGGTTGTGGAAGATAAGCCTTATTCTCGCTTGGACAACAGCTTTCTCTATAGCAAGTTCATCTGCCCAGAAAAGGCTGAACTCAAGGCCCCAAGAAAAAGGAAGGAAATGAGCCTGGTTGTCCAGAAAATCAGTAGGGAATGCCAGACATCTCCAAATGGGCCTCAGGAGGATGCTGTGTATAAGGAGTTACCACCAACTGGGCTGGATGCTGAGCATCACTTCAGGGCACCAGATACCAGTGGTAGCTCCAAGCAGATTATTCTTCTCTCCAAGGAAGCAGAAAGCTTGACCCAGTCAGAAATTCAGGTGAGTAAATTGATTCTGGGCAGCATGAAAACCAGGTCAAGTTGACTTTAATGCAACTGATCTCAAGCTTACGCCTGTGTAATGTCTTGGGCTTTCGCTCCCGTCATTCTGTGGTCTTTGGGGATTATGGGAGCTGAAGTCCAAGGCATCTGGAGAGCACTGGGTTAAGGAAACCTGAATGAAAATGTTCTGTTTGGTCTTTGCTGGTGACAACTGTAATATGGTCTCTTGCCACATTGTGTGTTCAAGAGCTGGGCTGTTGGAAGTCTCTGTGAGTCTGTGATGTAGAAAAGAACATTGTAGCGTGTTGCACACGGATGAGTTATATTCCTAGAATCTCCACCTTCAACCAGCTTTAGAACTGGTGGCATGGTTTAAGTTCAAAAGGATGATTACAGGACCAAACCCACTGCCTTGCTCAACTGCACAACACTAATTGAAGCCATTTGAGTGTTGTGCCTGAATGAAGGTCGTTATTTATGATCTTTAAATGGATAGCTAACAGAGTCAGTGATGCTCATTAAAGAAATTGAAGAGAAGCCCAGTGGTCATCTTAGATGGGAGGAGAGAGAAGTCTGCATGATGAGAACTCTGCAATATTCAATTTTACATAGCTGGAGCCTCACCTTGAACCACAGTTTGTAGCGTGAGGTCACATTTAATTCCTTGCTGTACATGCCCAACTCCCCCCTTTTTCTTTATTTTTAAACAAGAATTTTCAGAGGTAAGGAGAGTAAGAGGAATAGGGGAGGCCCAGATGTTTCTGAAATGTAATGGTTTGTCTTGGGGCCCTACAGCCTGATTGTTTCACAACAGCCTCCTTTATGGAACACAAGACACAGGTTCCAACTCGTTTTCCTTGATCAATATTTCTGCCCCCCCGCCCCCCAATTGCTTTTATGACAGGTCCTTTGGGCAATCTGGATTTCCATGCAGGGCTGGGTGCAATATGCTTCAAAGCTGTGGTTGTGCTGCTAGAGAAAGAGGAATGCTCCTTATGCAAGCCGGAATACATTAAGTCAGAGAACTTTCTGTTGGCCCTGTGAAACTGACTTCAGTGGATTATGACACTGACTAGATAGGTTTTTTGATGAGATTGAAAAATTGACTAGAACACGATCCAGGGGCCAAGGAGAGGATGGGGAGAACCTTCCCCCATCTGCTTTTGAAGCTATAACATTACATCAGATGGACAGTAATGGCAAAACAGTGCTGTAGAGAACTGTGCATGTTGGTGGAGAAATATTTGGACTTACACGAAGTAAAAAAGCAGCAGCCATTGAAGCCTGCAAAATGCAATACAAGAGACCCAGTGTGTTATAGTTAAGGTTATAGTTATAGTTAGGGCTAAAATTTACAGGGGGGTTTTAGGACATTTTTAATGTATGTTT